AAATGATGATGAAAAACTAAATTATATTACTTACAAATTGAGCAATAATGCAAAACTGTTTATGTGGTCTTAAAACTTAAGCTTTAAAATTAGAGCACTGCACTCAAATTTAAGATTGATTTGCTTAATTAATCTTTTTAGATCTCGGGTTAACCGTCAATCGAACGATATTGGAACGATATTTAGACATAACTTGAGGTATTTTCGGCAATTTGAAAGGTCTTTAGAAATTATAAACTTATACCTACGTTTTCCATAAAATAATATAGGGTTATGATCATTACATACAACCGTATTTCTAATGAAGATTATTTCTATATCTTTTTAAAGTTAATTTCACTTTCACATTTTGTTTTCCACTTACCATCGAAAGATACGAAAATGAAAGAAATTACATTAGGAATGTAGCTGATAGTTGTTGTACTCTTTTTTTTTGCGTGTTATATTATATCCTCTTCTCTGGTTGGTTCTTGAATTCTTTATATTTTTTTTTTGGTTTTGTGTCTGCATATTTTAGGCAGATATAAACATTTTGTTAATAGTAGCACAGATTAAGTATACTATATGTATACAGATAAAAATCTTATCCCTAATTCGTGGTACGAAAATTGTTTTTTATGGCGATGTGCAAACGAGTCAAATTTCCTGTGCGCAAAAATAAACTCCCGTAAAACAACAATAAACAGCGTAATAGAGAGATATCGCTAAACCGAATAGCGTGCATGGACGTTAATAAGGCCAGATGTTATTTCCTTTACATGAGGTGGTATTAGCTCTCTTCATTTATAGTTACCGGATCGGAAAGAATTCTGTTCGCGTCGCGGTCGCGTCCGCTATTTAAACTTAATCTAACTTTGAATTTAAAACTTTGAAATTGTTTTGTTTACTAGGTATTTTAAAACTAAAGGGCTAAAGTGCTTCTTTCCAGTGATTTATTGTTCAACGTCTGCCAGTGGGTTTAGAGCAACAAGCAACAAATAATTCTCTTAGAAGGGCTAAGTCGTCATCTGCTGTAAACCTAAAGCTTGTTTCATGTAGACGCGAATTGCGAATTGCGGAAAGCGATTCGCCAAAAAATATTCGCAAAATTTGGACCTATTTCATACAGTCGCGAATTTTTAGGGACATTTCATTTTTGCTCGACTGAAAGTTACCAAAAAAGATCATAACCTGAGATAACTTAATTTCTTTTTTATTCGTGTTACCGACCTTTATTTTATATTTTATAGCATACAATAGCTTACTTCGGGTTTCTCTTATTACCTATTCTGAACCGTCCTAGAACTGTGATGCGTATGCGCAGAAGGAAATATGAAGACATTGTTTCATTTGCGCATGCGCTGCAGAGCTCTAGGACGGTTCAGAATCGGTAATAACAAGAACCCGAACAAATCTAATATGAGTTCAAATTTGTTTAATGATTATGAATATTCATTACGATTGTGGGATTGGAACAGAAGGCGTAAAATTGTCATTTACTTATTGTTAAAACGTAGAAGAGAACGGTCATTTGGGACATGTGAAATATTTAAATTTCGTAAGCAACAAGGGTGCTTATCGCAATTTAATTCAAGAAATGAGGACAAAAGATGAGAAAAAATTTAGGAATTTTCACAGATTGTCTGTACAGGAGTTTGATAACTTGGTTGAAAAATTGTCATCATATAGCAGTGTCGTCAAAATAATCGATAACCGATCACAACACCATTCTGCGCAAACGCGAACCTTAAAATCGCGCGAATATTCGCAAAAAGTTGAAAACACTTTAACTTTCCCGCCCCCCAAATTTTAAATCTTGCGAATCGCCAAAATCTTAAAATTTCTGACAGTACACAAATTTCTGATCATTAAAATTGGACCAATGAGAGCAGTTTCGCAAAATCGCGATTCGCGATTCGCGTAAACGAATCGCGACATTTCGTTTACATGAACAACGCTTAAGTGTCTTTATAGGTTCTTTATTATTGGAAGAGGTGGAAACCATATTTTGGGCCAGCTACTTAAATATCAAATTACCTAATAAAACTAATGTAATAATTCAAAACAATTCAAACATAACCTAAAATAAAAGATCTCGTCGGCCGGCCCCAGTTGCCAAATACCCGCACATGCCCATTTAAGCAATTTTTAAACGTTATTTAGAAATAGCTCTTGGTGTAATTGATCCGCAAATTACGTCAGACGGTAACGTTATTAGTGGGCGTTGCGTTAAAAATTGACTCGCGCATATAGTAACCATGACTGACCATGATAAGGTACGCGTAAATACTGCATGACGCTATTCGGTTTTGCGATATCTCTCTAATAACTGTGCCGGTCAGGCGCTGTCATAGACTTAAAATAAAATATAGACTGAGCATCTCATTCATAAATAGCTGGAACATGCGGTCAGACACTGTCTTGTTATTGTTGTGTTATTGTTTTAGGTTATAACGAGTGCGACACGAGCGATAGATAGGTTGTCTCTGTCGTAACGGTCGTTCCCTGACGGCTCTGCCGAGAAACACAACACTGTCTTTCGTTTCTCAAGTACACCTGAACTCTCCGTATCATAGCCGGGTAATTTTTTATTTTAATGAAGCTATAATTATATTAAAAATATATCGTATTTAAACTTCTTTATATTTTATTAAAATTTAGGACAGGTTTTTTAAACAAAAGTTTAGAAAAAACAATTTAGAGTCCAAAAAGGATAAAAATAATAAAATACACGTTATAGAAGAAATTTTATAATCGAAATTAGGTAATTTTTGAAATTAATAATAAATTATTAATTTTAGTCAAACATTTACAACCCCTAATATTAATCAAAACAGGATCTATTCCACAGATATAATAGAATCGGCGACAGGGGGAGAAAAAAATATGATTATTGTAATTTTTTTTCTGGTTAAGTGATGTCTTATTATGTAAATTAGAGAAAACATAAATCTGTTCCATTAAAGCAAGGAAAGGTGATAGGAAGTGGATAAAATGGAAACTACATTTGTTTAATTCGGTACTGTCTTTATTATACCGGGTGTGTCCCAAAAGTGGCTCATCCCCATAATTTTTTTATATTTTCAAATAAAAAAACAAGATTTAGTATGTTAGTATATGAAATAAATTAAGATTGATTGACGCATTCAATTGTTTTTGGTCACTTCCTGTTTCACCGGAAATGACTATAACTTTTAATTTTTAAACGGCACCCTCGGTATATTTCTACTTTATTCGATAGAAAATGACACTCTGAATAGAATGACATATCATATGTCAACTTTTGACATTTTCGCATATGGTTTAATTGTAATTGTAACACGCGGTTCATAACGACAATTTGACTCGAAATACCAAGTGTGTGGTATCAATATACTCATAAAAAATGCTTTTTCCAAATATGCTAATGAGTCACCCTTGTTCCATTTGAAAAATTGACATATGTATGATTAAAAATACGATTTGTACATCTTTTAACCGGCCTAGACAAGACACGAAACCTATTAGACGATCAAAACTATTTTTCCAAGTCTCCTTGATTAAAACTTAGTGGATTGAAAAAACTGGATTGAAATTTAAAATAGGATATGTTTTTAAGCGACAATGTCAAAAGTTGACATATGATATGTCATTCTATTCAGAGTGTCATTTTTTATCGAATAAAGTAGCAATATACTGCGGGTGCCTTTAAAATCAAAAGATGTAATCATTTCGGTGAAACAGGAAGAGACCAAAAACAATTGAATACGTCAATAAATCCTAATTTATGTCATATACCTACTAACATACAAATCTGTTTTTTATCTGAAAAAAAAAAAAGTTATAGGGTTGAGCCACTTTGAGACGACCCGGTATATTAAAAATATTGTTTCATAATGTAATATCATTTTAAAATTCTTGTATGTTATTTTAAATTCTGAAGATAATTTTAGAATAAACCGGAATATATTTTAATAAAAACATTATTAATTATTAACAGGGTTATAATTATGATTTTGTTACAATGTAAGTAAGTAAATAATGTAATGTAAAAGAAAAAAATCAGATTTTACATTTTACTAAAATATTATCTAAATAAGCGCCTTTCTACAACAACGCCACTGACTGCCAATGGGTAAATTGAGAGTTGCCTACCGGTCAAAAGTCGTTTCAAGACTTAAATGGATTATTTAAGTCAAATTTCTTGCAAATTTGGCACTGGCGAACCATATTTTATAGTTTTTGAACAGAAAAAGTCAATAAAATAAACACTTAAGGACTACAAGCTAAGAAAATGCGTTAATACAGCCGGGGAGATAGCGGCAACAAAGCTTTACCGCACACGTGCGACACGTACTACAAGGTAATAAATGAATGAATAGGCTCCCTCGCCTTTAATCGGTGTTGTCATATTGTAAAGAACTTATCCTTATTAAACAGTATCCGACTTATAATTTAGTAGTATAAGGACTATTTAATACATCTATGGAATATTAAAACCTACTTTATTAAACTGTAGTATTAATATCTCAATATATGTGTATAACAAGAAAAAAAAATATTGATAATATTAAAGACGTGACAACATAGGCTGGATGAGGAAGGCTCGGTCGACTGTACCCAGAAGTAAACATGTGTACAAAAAAGGTTGTTTGTCCGCGTTGAGATGTAAATAGTATCGTCTATATTTTATTTTAAGTCTATGGGCGCTGTGCACAATTTTAGAGGCCATAATTGGGCCTGCTATGTGCGCAAACTAGTCACCTAACTAGTGCTCGATTCCGAAAATTGGAACCACGAATAACAATAAAGAAAAAACAAAGATTATAATCTGTATAATCTGTGGTAGTAGTATCAACTCTCCTACATCATAATAAGCCGTCCCTAAAGTATATCTTCTTTTTATTCTATAAGTTGTAGTACGTGAATATTAAATTTGCCTAGAAATGCTAAGAGCTGTACCTAAAACTTTCTAATAATGCGCATTAACTTCATTAATTAACAATAATCGTAATAAATCTTAATAAACTTTTCTTTTTCAGTTGTTCTGGCGATGACAGTGCCCCTTCTTGGACTCTTCATCTCCCTCGTCGGTTCCTTCTGCCTCTCAGCTCTGGGAATCGCCTTTCCTGCCATCATAGAACTTTGCGCAAATTGGCCAGAAAATTCCAACCCCAAGACCTTACTTTTCTGGAAAGACATGCTGCTCATCGTCATTGGTGTTGTTGGACTGTCAGCTGGCAGTTACAGCGCTATCTACGCCATAGCTCAGAAACTTGCCTCTGGAAATTATTAGGAGATAAATAACGTGAAGTTGTTATTGGGGTTATCCAGAAATTACGTCACACGTTTTTTTAAGAATTTTAGACATCTCATTACATCTAGATCATCATATATTTATGCAGCTCTTTCATTCGGCCAAGTGATGTTACAAACAATCATGTTATAGTAATAGCACAGAGCCTATTCAGTACCAGCTAGCGATCATTGCTAGTGTTTTTAAGTATTGTCATCAGGGTTCGGAAGTAGTTAATTAAGACGTAATTTACCTGATTAAGTGTAGTTTTTCTTCAAAAACTACCTTTTTCCCGTTCATTAGCTACATAAAAACTACTTTAATAAACTACGTATTGATATTACGAAAAAAAATATCCTAAATTTTCATTTTTTATTTAAGTAAAGAATTATAAAAAACAGAATATAATGGTTAACACAATATATTAAAATTATTATAAAATACGAAAACTCAAAACATTTTAATACAACTAAAATACAAATATAAAATATCTATAAGATTTTAATCACCTAATTAGTAATCTTTGTCAAGACTTTGTAGAAAGTACAATATGATCGAAAAAAAAGGGCGTCAGCAGTAGCTATGAAACGAAGATCAGTGTCATTTTTGGTGTAAAATTATATGGATAATGTCATCGATCATCATTTCCAAGCCAACTGTACGCCATTTTTTTTTCGATCATACGGTAATTTCAACCTGATTTATAATATGGTCATCAGTTTAATAATTTTCCGTTTTATGAGGGGTCTAAATAATAAGATGTGAATATTATATTTAAAGCTATATTTCTTCTGTTTTCTCAAATACATTTATATGTGTTTTTTAAAGCTTTTACTTATCTTTTACCTCACCTCAAACCTGCCTCAAACGTTTGATATTTGAAAGTTACATAAACTACACCCTCTACATCGATTAACTACATGTAACGTAGTTTATGTACATTTTAAGAGTAACATGTAGTTTTCCGAACCCTGATTGTCATCTGCTGCGCCTATTCTTGTACACAAGTCAGTACATAGAGCTACAAGCTCGATCGTATTTTTAAATGAAGCATCAATGGTGCTCAGAACTCTTGTTCTTACAAAGCATGATATTAAAGTTTGCAGAATTCTATAAACTTTGAAATTATAAACAAATACCTAGGTATGGTTTATATCAAATAAACTTTTAGTCACGTGATTAAGCTTGACCGGCACAGCGTTGCCCACTTTTAAATATTTTCTTTTAATCAAAATATTTTAGGAAACAAAAATAAATTAATTATAACAGTTATTATTTACATAAACAAAACTTACCTATTTAACAGCACTTAAGACATAAATGGCCATTACTACCGCTTTTCCTTTCAAAATATTCTAATAAAGTTGCGATGAGTTTTTTACGGCTATTAAGCTATCTTGTACACTTCGCACTAATAGATGTTGTAAAAAGAACAATATTCGATCGAAAGGTCTGCTAGTAGACATTTTTAATCTTAAAGTATCACAACACTATTTATTTAAACCAAAAACTCGTAATACAAAACTAAAGTTTCAAAACGAATGACAATGTCAGGAAATAAATAAATAAATGTGGCAGCTTGACATTTTTACAGCAGAGCTACCACCTGAATCCCAGCGGGAAATTTAAATTCCATTTAGTCAGCTCGGCGCCGAATATATCCATGGTTGGCAACAATGAATTTAAAAATCGCGCCCTCGATTACGTAACTAAAAGTTTAATTGGTATCAAATATAGGTAAGCAGATTTACATGCCAACATGGTCGTCACTTAGAATTTTTTGTCGATTGCCATTAGTGTTCTTCTTAAGGTGCGGTGCAGATTCCTGCGTAGGCGTTCATCTTTTTCTTCCTCATCAGATTGTTCTGTTAACTGCAGCGACTTGGAGTGCTTGGAAGTCCTGTATGCCTGTCCAATGACGAATATTTCTCAGCCAGGATAGCTTCCTTCGACCTATTCCTCTTTTGCCCCCCTCTATTTTACCCTCGAGAATCAGACGCTGAAAGTGATAGCGTTCTCCACGTAGTATGTGTCCCAAATAGGCTATTTTCCTCTTCTTGATGATTTCAAAGAGTTCACGTTGTTCCAGACCAGCTCTTCTGAGAATGTCTTCATTCCTCACACGGTCGACCCAGGGCACTCTTAGCATTCGCTGTAGGGTCCACATTTCGAAGGCTTTAATTCGGTTTATTGTTGCTACCTTCAGTGTCCATGCTTTCACACCATATAACAAAACGGACCAGACATAGCACTTCACCATTCTGTATCTAAGGCCGAAGTTCAAATTCCTATCTGTGAGAAATCTTCGCAGTCTCAGAAAAGTAGATCTTGCTTGTTCGATCCTGCATTTGATCTCCTGATCCGGATCCCACGTTTCGTTAACCATGCATCCCAAATATTTAAATTGTGTGACCTGCTTGATGACCTCTCCATTTAAGTAAATTCTGGTGTTCGGAATATTGTTTTCAGTAGTACGAACTCCTGAAATGAAGACCTTAAGAATGATAACTGGATACACATTGAGGGACAGACAGAGAAATGTAGACATAAGAGAAAAGTGCCAAACAAACGACGTTGTCAGATGGATAAGGCAGAGAAGAAGAGAATGGAACCAGCATGTCAATAGAATGGGCCCCGATAGAATGGCCATAATAATTCGCAACAACGTACCCCATGGCAGAAGACCTACTGGACGATCACCTAAACGTTGGCAAGACAGTTGGCAGTCAACCTCGCAAGAGTTGCTTAGACGAGGAGGAAACCGGAACTAAACAGGAATATTGTTTCTGCTGACAGCCATAAATTTAGTTTTTGTAGTATTTATGTTTAAACCCAGTCTTTGACTTTCACTGTTAACCTTATTTAGAAGGATTTGGAGATCATTTGCATTGTCTGCCAATATCACTGTGTCATCCGCATATCGGATATTATTAATTGGAATGCCATTTATTTTCAAACCAATTGGACTATCGGAGATTGAGTCAGTGAATGTTCTTTCCACATATAAATTGAACAACATTGGAGACAGAATACACCCTTGCCTTACCCCCTTTTTTATTTCAAAACCTTCTGTTATTCCCACGCTATGTATACGAATTTCAGCTTTTTGGTTCCAATACAAATTACTGATGAGCCTTATATCTTTTCCATCAAGTCCCAAATCTCTGAAGTATGATATAAGGAGGTTATGTTTAACGTTATCGAACGCCTTTTCATAGTCTATAAAGCACATGAAGACATCTTTTCTCTGATCTTGGCCATTAGTGTTATAGTGCCATAATTTTTACACTATTACTAAAATATTATTATTTTGTAACAATTAAATTATATTAAATCTAGTTAGCATATTTAATTAACACTTATTTTTTAATTATGTACAGGGTGCTGCTTAATTATTTGCTAATATCGCTAATATTTAAGGGGCAGATTTTTTGGTTAATTTTATGAAAAGAAGTTTATATGAATGTATGTCATAAAGATCTTAATTTCTGGTACATAGAGAGGTAAAATTTTCAAGAACAATTTTTTTTTAAATAAAAAACGATATGTTTTGCAAGTAAGTGTACTTGCTTTTACTAGTTACTACTTTTACTTTAATACGTCACTAAATATATGACAACTATATTTTTTAATGTGTTCAAAAATTGTTGATTCATCAATTTTACAGAGAAGTTTAGAATCGTATAACAGATATTAAAGAAAAGTTTTTTTTCTGAATACTTCATCAGCCGTATCTGAAAGGTTTTTAGAAGGTTAGGTTAGGTTTTAGGTTCATTTAGAAGAATATTTATTTTCACTGATAATAATACACATTTCTTATTATTATTTTATTACTATTAGATACTATCATATTATTGCCCCTAAAGGTTCACAACTTTTGTCACCCAACTCTGTATATTGTGGATTTCTGATGATCTCTTAAGTATTCTGAACGTTTGACGTAATCTCTGGATGGCTCATTTCAATCGTTAGAAGTACAAAATGATTGGTGATTTTTTTTCAATTTATATATAATTTGTGGATTTTTTCAATGCAGTTAAGGTACGAATGAAAGGAAGTGTAGGATTTAATTTTTCGAAAAAAATAGAATAAAACAGATTTAGAACAGCGAAGACTATTATATTTAGGCTTGCCTCAAGCACATGTTATATATTTTTTAGTTTTTTAAAAACAGCACATGATGTAGAACATACACTCTTATTTTTTTGCAGAATTATACGATACTTTGTGATTGAATGAAAACGACGTCAAATGATATTGAGATATAATCGACAATCACGGTTACAAAATCACATTTAGATTTGAGTTTTCTTATTTTAATAGTTAAATCTGTTGGCTTAGAGACAGATATATGTGAATAATTATTAATGGTTAATGTCATTGTTCAATATTAAGTCTATTGTAAACCATACGGTTTCTAAAAAAATAGTTGTAAACGTCGTAAAGATCGAACTGAAAAGTTATTCCTGTGCCTACTACGACACCGTTTTTGTTCAATCACACAGTATCATATTTTAGGCATGAGTAGCGTTGGTTAGTATTTAAAAATAGGAATGACATTATGTGGTTTATCACTTTTTTAATTTTACTTTATTTTTTGAGTAAGTATACGAAGAACTTCAAACATCTATCTACCTTATTTAATTATTTTATAATTCTAGTACTTTATATTGATAAGTATATTTAAAAGTATGTAATGTTTATTGAACAAAACCAGTTTTTGAAGTTAGATCAAATTGAAATTGAGATTATAAAAACTAAATTTTAAAACGGGAGACTGTTATAAACGTAGATTAAGAACGATATTGCCATCGATTAGGTATAACATATGAAATTATTGAAAAGTAATTTATATTAATTCTTGTGTTTTTATTTATGTTAAATATATTGATGAGAGATTTTTTAAATAAAATTTTGATATTAAAATGTACAGATTTTTTATTTTTCATTTTCTATCTGTTACAGTAATAGTCAGATAGCAGTGAATGTTGTCAATTTATTAAGCTCACATCAAGCTCAATATTAAAGCTCACATTTACCGATTTGCTAACATTACGCCAGTAAATGTCCAACAACTAATTTTGAAACAAATTTTTGAGTTTCACGCATCCGTTATCCGACGATACGATGATACGATATTAATTTTATTGGTTGAATTTAAAGGCTTCGATTGGTTAGAAAATTACGCAATTTTTAAATTTATTGCATTTTCATGCCACCGTTCATCGGATGTACGATTTGCTTGTGTTTTATGTCATTTTATATAATTCCATAACGATTTCGCTGTTTTACTTAAAGTCTAGAGCTGGCTGCCGGTAGATATTGCTTTCGCTACTGCGCATAACAAGTTCGCCCTGTATTTCAGGAACCAAGGAGGCATATAAAAATAAAACTATAATGTGTAATAATAATATGTGTTGCATATTTAGTTTCATAAAAAAGTAGCGTGAGTAATGTGAAAATCGCATCATTGTATCTCTACTCATAAACGAGAAATCCCATAAAACACACGAAAAGTACTGTACAGGGTGTCCCACCTGAACAGATGTGATGTACCAGTAGTGGACCGCAAAAGTCTACCGGCAGCCAGACAAAAGAACAAACTTTCTTAAAATTCTCGTTTCCCGACGTTGCTAGCTCTTGTACTATTATACAGGGTGGCCCATTGAAAACGTTCCGCAAGGCATAACTGCCAGGGTTTTTTTTTCAAAAAATCCAAAAACACGTGGGTAAAAGTTGTGAGGGGGACAACTTTTACCCTAAAAATGATTGCAAAATCTTCAACTCTCTAAGCGGGGGTGTCATCTCCCAACTTTTTTCAAATGGGAAGGGGGGTCAAGTGGGGCCGCAATTTAAAGAGCTCTCTATTCTCCATATTTCCCTCGTTTTTGAAAATCGGTCGAATCATTGAGAAAATATGAAAGATTGAAATTTGAAAAGTTTATTTAAACATTTATTAGAGTAAATGATAAGGATAAATTCCTTCGACCAATTTGAGTTTTTTTTTATTATTTCTAGATGTTTACGCATTTTTTCACTTGCAACAAGGTTGAACGATCAGGTGCGGTAGTTGCTAGATAGCTGTTCTGTGACTTGTGCGTTGAAGTTCTTCTCAATATCGTTAAACTGACCCACAATAGAATTTCCAAAAATACCAGCCCACACGTTCAATTTGTGAGAGTTTTCTGTGTGCATCATCTCGTGAAAAATCCTGGGGTTAGGTTAGTCCAGTACCGACAGTTGTGCCGATTAACTACACCATTCAAAAAGAAAGTACACTCATCCGAAAAACACACATTAAATAGGAAATTATTATCATTCGCCACTCGGTCACTCATAGTTTTACAAAATTGCAATCGACGATCAAAATCGTTTTCGTTGAGTTCTTGTTCCAACTGAATTTTGTACGGGTGGAACTTGTGTTTTTTTTAACATCCTTTGAACACTTGTACGATTCACGCCGGTCTCATTGGCTAATTTCTTGTACTCAGCGTACTATCCATGGCAACTTGGCCCAATACGCATACCTCCATAGCTTCATTTACTACAGGATTTTCCCTCTGCCTCTTTTTATTCATAACAGGACCATCAGTTTCGCGAAATTTTGCTACTAACTCGCGAACAATTTTGCCATAAAGGTGTTTGTCAGGATGGCGTTCATTGAATATCTGTGCAAAACGATTGCCACATTCATTATTTTTAAAATAAAGTTCCATTATTTCCACTTTTTCTGCAAGTGAGTACACCATAATTGTTAAAAAGTTTAACGATATTGAGAAGAACTTCAACGCATAAGTCACAGAACAGCTATCTAGCAACTACCGCACCTGATCGTTCAACCTTGTGGCAAGTGAAAAAATGCGAAAACATCTAGAAATAATAACAAAAAACAGCAAATTGGTCGAAGGAATTTATTATCATCATTTACTCTGATAAATGTTTAAATAAACTTTTCAAATTTCAATCCTTCATATTTTCTCAATGACTCGACCGATTTTCAAAAACGAAGCGGGAAAGTATAGAGAATAGAAAGCCCTTTTCATTGCGGTACCACTTGACCCCCATTCCCATTTGAAAAAAATTGGGGAATGACATCCCCGCTTAGAGGGTTGAAGATTTTGCAATCATTTTTGGGGCAAAAGTTGTCCCCTCACAAAAAAAATTGACGTGTTTTTGAATTTTCTGAAAAAAAATTACCCTGGCCGTTATGCCTTGCGGAACGTTTTCGATGGGCCACCCTGTATTTTTATTTTGGTTAAATTAAATTGCCTAGAATAAAACCCCCAGTGGATGCCGAGAGATATGCCAAGAATGTACAACTTTGGGAAACATCTCAATGTAGTATTGAGCAATAAAAAGGATTGAAAGAGAGAAACGTCTGCTCAGCAGTTAAAAGACCATGCCATAACTTGGTACGCTGATGCTTCCAAAACCAATGCGGGAACAGGGATCGGAGTATTTGGGTCGAGAACTAAAAACTCCGAACCAATGGGCACCGACCCTAGCATCCTACAGGCAGAAATCTACGCTATCGAAAGATGCGTACAACTTAATAGCCATCTTATTTGATAGTGAAGCAGCGTTAAAAGCGATCAACTCAGTATTAATCAATTCGAAATTAGTAAAAGAATGCATAAAGAAGCTGAATAAATTAAGCAAAGAAAACAAAGTCATCCTACTCTGGGTGCCTGCTCACCAAGGGATAGAAGGCAATGAAAAAGCAAATGATCTAGCTAGAAAAGGAGCGAACACTCCACTAACTGGACCAGAACCGTTCTGGTTCCCAAGTGGTAACCAACTAAAGGCGGAACTCAAGAACTTGGAAGACTTCATCCACAACCTGGAATAGGAATATTGCAACGGTCTAAGACACTCGAAGAAGTTTCTGACGGCTGAGGACTAAGAAAAATCAAAGATCTTCCTGGAATTAAGTAAGAACAATCTTCGGATTGTCACGGGGTTTTTAACAGGACACTGTCTCCTCAATGAACACCTCAGTAGATTGAAACTAAGAAAAAACGGCGAATGGAGATTCTGTGGGGAAAATGGGGAAACACCAGAACACCTCATCACTGAGTGCGCCGAGACGACAACCATTCGTGCCATGAACTTTGGTACCACTGATATTGGAGATGGAGAACTACCCTCTGTAAAACCGTCCCAGATACTGGCTTTTGTCAAAGCCCTGGGACTGTATGATGACTCAAGAAAGGGGGACACAATAAATCTGTAAGAGAGAGGTCGCAGTGATTAAGCCTCTCCCATTAATTCCAAAAAAAAATCTAGATTAAATTGTGGATTAAATTTGTCAAAAAGATGCCAAATCGTCCGTTATTGTAAGATCTTTCTACGTTGACGGGCTGGAGTAAAAAATTACTACGGATGAAAAGTGGCACGGAAACGCTATGACCAATCAGAGCACCGTCGAACTATCGTATCAACCTTTGCATCAACGGATAATAGATGCATGAAAATTAAGCTTAAAAGGGCTGTTTTAATTTTTGAAGATGCTGACTTTGATAAGAAAAAATGTTATCTGTGCTTGTTTGATCATTCCAATCTAAATTTATTTTCTTTATCTATGCTAATTGATCAATAATTATTCTGACACTTTCTGACATAAATAAATTTTAAATTTTTATGTCATCTCGATGTCAAGTATAACTTCACATGAATGATATAAAAAAGTTGTTAGAGTTCATTCAATCTATCTGGAAGAAAATTGTGCTTATTTTTAACTAGATAACAGATAATCGATGGCTCAACGGTAAGTGTTTGTTGGCTGAACGAATTGTTTTTAGTAACGAGCTAGGTGCTTAGTAAATTTTAGCAAAATATTTTAGAAAATTCAAAGGCAAGGTTTATATTAAATTTAACTATTTTATACATTAGATACCTACATGGTGAAGGAATTTGTCAACATTTTTTAATGTTGGCTATCTGAAAAGCTAAAACAAAAATTACAAAATTTTTTGGCAAAGACTTGGCAACTTAAAATTATTTTAGATATAAACACAGTGGCGTCTCGTGAATCTTAAAGGAGATTGGGCACAACCAAGTGTATACTTCTAACTTTCATGCTAGAAATTAAATTATTATTTGATAGTATAACAGCGCTTTCAGATGGAGCGGACCGTCCGCGACGGAGCGTCCGCGCCTTCGAGCTAGTACCATGAGGTTATATGAACAATTTCACATGGCCGCATATGCTCCGTCCGACGCGACGGCTATCTGTCGACCAAACCAAACCAAAAACACGACAGAGGGTCCGTCGCGGACGCTCCGCTCCATCTAAAAGCGCTGTAAAGTGTATCGTAAATACAGGGTGATTTCTGTAAGTCGGTCATCCTTTCGGGGAATAATAGGGGACGTCGAAATATTAATTTTGATACAGCACACTATGGATCGGAAATGTCTCTTACGCAAGATACAGGGTGTTAAAATTTTTAAAAAATTAAAGATATTTTTTATGAGTGTTTTAACAGTTGAAGATATCGTTATAAAATTTTATTATAGGAGTCTATCTAACAGAGACACTTTAAATGTAGAAAGGAGAGGTTTTAGTTTTAACCAGTGGCGTAGATGTGATACGCATCGGGTAAAAAAATAGTACGCCACTGAAAAAAAATAAAATTTTTAATTTTTTTTTATTTACTCTGTTTATTTCCACGAAAAAATGTCTCTTGCAACTTTCTCCTATCTAACACCATTTTGTCACAATTTAAAAATAAATAAATATTTTAATGATAATCTTAAATACAGAGAATTAAGGCAGAAACACATGTGAATTGTTAGCTCCCTTCATCACTTACATGTGAATCTAAATAAAAGCGAAGGTTACAGTTACACATCTTGGGTAACTTTAGTACTTTTTACTATTAGCTCCTTAAAATAAATTTTTAAAAAATTATAAATATAAACTAGAATATTTTTTTGTTGTTAATAATAAAATTCTTAGTTTCAAGGTAGTTATAATAATTCGCATATTTAAAGCCCAATCGAAAAAATTATTTATTTTTAAATTGTGACAAAATGGTGTTAGATAGGAAAAAGTTGCAAGAGACATTTTTTCTTGGAAATAAACCGAGTAAATAAAAAAAAACTCCAAATGGTTTATTTTTGTCAGTCGCGTATTATTTTTTTTTAAAAATTACCCGATGCGTTTCACATCTACGCCACTGGTTGAAATTAAAACCTCTTCTCTTTACAGTTAAAGTGTCTCTGTTAGGTAGACTCCCATAATAAAATTTTATAACCATACCTTCAACTATTAAAAAAACTCTTAAAAAATATCTTTATTTTTTCAATAACTTTAACACTTTTTATCTTTCGATAGAACATTTTCTGATCCATAGTGTGCTATATCAAAATTAATATTTCGATGTCCTCCATCATTCCTCGAAAGCATGACCCACTTACAGGAATCACCCTGTACATCATCATACTGTATCATACATTCTCACTATACCTTCCATATCAGCTCCCTTCCATTTCCCATCCGTTTACATAAAATATTATATCATATAAATGAATACGACAATGCACACTATACGCAGAGCCGTGCCGGGGGTGCAAGGGGTGCATGGTACCCGGGCGGCACTAACACAGGGCGGCAAAATATCATCATCAATCTTTTTTTCATATTATCAAGAATAAAAAAAGCCACCTTGCAAACTGCAAAAATTTTTCTAAAAATCACGACCTATTTAAGGTTCAATATGAGTCAAATCAGGCTTTCAAATTTAGCAATTATTATAAGTATTGAAGAAGATATTTCCAACAACTTGGAAGTAGGCGACTTGATTAGGGAATTTGCTATTAAAAAAGCGAGAAAAGTAGATTTTAGTATTTAAATCCGTTTAATTATTTTTGTTTTTTTTCCTGAATGTATTTTTATTTTATTCTTTTATGTATTTGTTAATAAATACTTTGTTATTTTACTATAAAATTTTTTATTGAGAATGATAAATTATGAACTCCTTCCCTTATCGACAACCTAATTGTTTTACATTAATGGGGATGGCAAATTTAATTCTTGCAACCGGGCGGCAGATACCCTAGGCTCGGCCCTGACTATACGTTCCGTTTCCCTTCCGTTCCATACATTTTTTGGCGGACGGACTGAAGCGTATCGGTAACAGCGTTGTCAAGTTCTTACATTTGTACCAGCTTTGTTAACATTTTGCTGATATTTATTCATTCTTTCACCTCTTAATTATATTATTTTCAGGAATCCGAAGGCAGAAATGCCTGTAGCGCCTGAGGACGACTATGATCCGCACCTTTACAGAGTGGTCGAAGCACCGACAACGTAAGTAGATTTAATTTGATCTAATTTTACGCTTATATCTCTTAAGCTGCGTACAAATATGCCGAGACGAGTGCGAGAGACGCCCGAGACGAGTCAACCTCAAACGGATTTGAGGTTGACTCGTCATATTTGGACGGGGTCTGAGCTTCGAGCCGAGCCTATGCCCAGTCGGATGGCGTTGTCTCCGTTTTTTCCGGATCCTTTGGCGAACCATCAAAAGGATTGGGGCGTCTATTAACCAGTGGCGTATACACTGCGGCTCCGCGGAACAAACGCCTCGAGTCTCAAGGGGCTTGGATTCCACATCCCATTTTTATATAAAAATAAATATTCTTTCCTTTATTTTCAATAATGTTAATTATGCATCCTATCTAGAAAGATACAATTTTATCTTCTCTAAAATAGTATAGGTAAGTTAGCCAAAGTGGGTAAATCTCATATACAAAGATTTATTAGTGATTTCTTTTATAAAAACATGAAAATTCTATGAAAAATGAATAACCATAATAAACTTTTCGTCGAGTTATCACTGGCAAGAGGTACATTCAGGCTGAGAGCGTCGAGCGTCGCATCGCGTTTGCGTCGCGTCCGCGTGTCGAAATGGAATCAATCTGTGGAATCAATTCATTTAACATAAATTAGACCGTTCAGGCAGGCAGCGTCGCGTTTGGCGTTGCGCTGAGCGTCGGGGTTTGAGTTCAATGGGGCGGACGCGACGCAAACGCGACGCGACGCTCGACGCTGTCAGCCTGAATATACCTTACGTAAATTATGGCCTATTTCTGCTCTAAACAAGAATTAAATATGTACTGAAAAAAAGGATCTCTCAGTCGAAATGAATATGACTTTGACCGAAAAGATTGGCGCTTTTCAATAGGGCCAAGAACGACGTTTCTTTGCCCAAAGCATTAACTATCTTTTCATAAGCTTTAAAAAATTACTTTAGAGAATAGAAGAATCTATCTGTCCAAAGTATTTCACTCTTGACCCAAAATTAATATGCAAAGAAGTTCTTGCTACAAGAACTATAGTTTCTTTGATTCATGCAAAAATTCTTGATTGAAAAGGAACATTTCTTGATTAAAGAGACACTTTTCTTAAACCAATAGTGAATACTATTGACCCAACTAAAATTTATTTTGATCTAAGAGAAGTCTATACATCATATACAGGCATATTACGAGGTATATTATTTTCTGATAAATTTAGGTTTTCCTGCTCTGTAGTAAGTAAAGGTGATATTATTTCCCTCGATAGTAGTTATTTCTGCTTCTTCACTCCTTGGTATTTTTTGGGGTGGTTCATCATTCTACAAATTACAAAAAAAAACGATTAATCAAAGTAAAGCAAATAAATTATTAAAATTATAAACTTTGGTCACATTTTGAATTTTTTAATACGACGACTTCAAATTCTAAAATTTTTGTAAGTAATTGCATAAAAAATCGATACCTATATTCTTATTCTATCTATAGTCACGCACGCATTATCTAAACAGGTGCATTAGGTAAATGTCTCTTACCTTCAAATATAGCAAATAAATGCTCTAATTTCCATTTTTTCAGAAACTCCTTTAAACAATCCATATATCTTAAAATTTGTCCATAAAAAATGACAAATGCATGTTAATAACGATCACTAATTTGTTATACGATGTGCGTTTAAAAAGCAAATTATGCAAAATTCCAAGTAACAAAACCCGTGCGTACTATAATGTGCGACCTATGAAATGTGACGTACGACTGATCGGACTGTCCTGCCATGCCGACTGATTGTATATATCCTCCTTCGTCATCGTCTTTGCATGTCGTTATTATTTTTCATCAAAAGAGGAAAAATTGGAAAAATGGCCATGTTTCTTGAATGAAGTACTTCCTAGCGTATTTTTCTTATTATCTTAAAACAAAGTAACTTGCACTTGGTTGAATAAAAATAGATTCAAGAGAAATTTTCGAGTTTTTCATGAGAACCAGTTTTCTTGAGTTAAGAGAGTTTTTCTTCAGACAAAATATTTTCTTTTACGCTAAAATAAATTCTCTTGCCACTATTTTTTTTTCAAGAACGATGACGACTTTAGTTCAAGTCTATCTTTTTTATCAGTGTGTAAAATAAGCTTCTTTACATAGGATACATTGGATACATCGGAGATAAGAGAGAGAAATCGAGTGTGTTGAGAAAGGCGGCCATGCTAACAGAAGTTCCTTACGGTACTCCCGTAAATAAAGGGAATCGACAAAGAAAGAAACGATCCGATATAAAAAAACAGAAATTTGGACTATCCAAACTACTAAGAAACTTAATTTATGGCAAATATGAACATAATAAAGTTCCTGCCATAGAAATAATTAAAAAAAAAACAAAAAAATTGAACAGGTTCTCTCCGAGCTTAAAAAACCCTGTTCAGAAAGCACATTACGGCGAAGGTTTAAAAACTGGAAATTAGATTTAAAATTATATATATATTAATAATTTAAAAATTATTAATAAGCGTCCTGCAATGATTGAAAGCCATAGAATAATAATGTGGCGAATTGAATACCTTGAAAAATATACAACTTTAGAAATGAAGAAATGCAGATATATTATTTACAATATATGTTCCATGTTAGTTATTGGCATTTAAATGTAGATTTAAATTAATAATTTAAATCTTAGTTACATAAATTTATAATTTTTTAAATAAATAAAGTCGAATTAGGTCTTATCTTACAGCGCTTTCAGATGAAACGGAGTACTTCGAGCAAGTACCATGAGCTTATATGAACAATTCACAATTTCACAAGGGTCGCGTATGCTCCGTCCGGATGAGCTATCTTGAAAAAAAATCCGCGCGGACGCTCTGCGCGTACGGTCCGCTCCATCTAAAAGCGCTGTTACTCTATTTAAAAATTTTATAGATATACAAACCATATACAAAATATATTATTGAATAAAATAATTAAAGATTCAAAAAAAAACGGCACTGGTAGAAGGCTCCGCCGCCGCCGCTGCCGTGCCGTTGTCTCCAGGTGTCTCAGTCGGCGTTCTCCTTTTTTTTTAATGTAAACAGTCCGAATATAATTTAAATTTATCATGAATTTTTATTTACCTTTAATTTATCTATCTGGTTTTTTTTACCTATTTCGAAATTAAACATACATATACAGGGTGTTTCAAAAAACATGTTCCATCTCTCGTGGGGAAGTTCCTCACGTAAAAATAAGATTTATATTTTATAGTAACCAATCCAATTCTGCTACTGATTCGTAGCTACAGGGGGTTAAAATAGGGTGCCCAACCGTCCTCTATTTCAGAAACAGTCCTCTTGTTGATCTGATTGTCCTCTTTTCTCTCACGTATTGAAAACTTTGTTGCATACCAACTTCAAAATCTAAAAAATATTTGTCTATCGCCACAATGCTTTAAAGAATTATTCATCTGTGTCTTTTATGTAATTTTATGTTTACTAACAGCGTTTTCACATGCGACGGACCGTCCGTCGTGTTTTTTTCAAGATAGCCGTCGAACAAACTCCGTCGGACGGAGCATACGCGCCCATGTGAAATTGTTCATATAAACTCATGGTACTTATTCGAGGTCACGGACGCTCCGTCGCGGACGGTCCGTCGCATGTGAAAGCGCTGTTACAGCGCTTTCAGATGGAGCGGAGCGTCCGCGACGGACCGTCCGTCGTTTTATTCAAGATAGCCGTCGGACGAACTTCGTCGGACGGAGCATACGCGCCCATGTGAAATTGTTCATATAAACTCATGGTACTTCCTCGAAGTAGCGGACGCTCCGTCGCGGACGGTCCTCTCCATCTAAAAACGCTGTTACTGTTAGTTTATGTCTTGAAAAAAAGTTTTGTTTGACAATGCTTTGCTTTATTTTAATAAGTTTTGAGTATAAATATTTTTGTTTGTTTTAAATATTTATCGCATACCGTTTATATAACTTTTTGGCAAATTCTAGACATTTGACCGACGTTTCAAAAAATGTTTCGCCTGTGCCTCTTTTTATCCTCTCGCCCCAATTTTTTATTTTCAAAGTTGTCAACCCTAGGTTAAGTGTTAGTTTGTTTCCATTTATTATAATTTTCTTCCAAGTGCTTTTAGTAATTTGAGATCGTTTAATGACTGATTTAGTTCTGATCCTGGTCGTTTTTTGTATAAAGCAGTGCCACCATCGTCGATTTTTTTCGTTAAATGCGAATAAGAAAATATCCTGATTATATCCTGGCCTTATACCTTATTATTTTTATTTACAAGCGATCTTAAATTTATTAATTAATTTTTTAAAATATTGAATGGTATCGAATAATACTTTAATATATTTATCAATATTTTAAAGTATCGATACTTTATATTCAATACAGCCGATACCAAAATATCGATACTGCCTCTATCGCATAGCCCTATGAAGAATTTTGATGGTTCGCCAATAGATCTACAGAAAATGGATAGCGGCGAGACAACGCCGTTCGACTTGGCAGGGACTCTGCTCGAGGCTAAATCGCCCGGCTCGAGGCTATAATATGACGAATTCTGCTTGAGGTTGACTTGTCTCGTCCTCGTCCCGGCATATTAATACGCCTTTTGGAAAGAATTTGCTATAGCCTCGTTTCATACTCGTTTCGGGTTTGTCTCGTACTTGCCTCGGCATATTTATACGCGGCTTTAGGTCACTTATATAGGGTGGCGCACCTCATTCGCACGGATGATTATACGAAAACGGAAAGATGTAGACTCCAAATTTTTTATGGGTATATGTAGAGAGGCAATGTGCATAATTTGAACTTATTTTGAAATGTACAGGGTGTGTCAGAACTAAGATCCATATCAAAGTTATATTTTTTCTTATGGAACACCTGGTATTTTATTTAATTTTTGGATTCTTAGGCATAAAATAGGGCATTTATTATAAGGGTTTAATATGTTTAAATGCTTTGGTTTTTGAGATATTCAAAAATATTAAAATATGCATGCTATAATAAAAAAGTTTGTAAACACCCTGTACATTACTTTTCAGAGTTAATTCTTGTGCATAATATTACAGTTATTACTTAGTTACTTACAAATTACATTATTTCTCAGTAATGTTTTTATGTAAATACTTTTATTACTTTGTAGAGTTAAATCTGATACAATTTTTTTTCTGAATTGCAGGAATATGGAGACTTTTGTTCATCTGCTGAAAGGATGTATAGGGACTGGAATTCTGGCTATGCCAGAAGCTTTCATGTTTTCCGGGATGCTAAATGGTATAATTTCCACGTTTCTGATAGGAATACTTTGCACCTACTGCTTTCAGATTTTAGTAAGTCGACCCCAAGTAGCATTTTCACGACTTGCGACCACATATTTACTAAACACAACGTTGGATTAGTTACAAAAAATAGTTAGCTCCCTACCTTGGGTATTAAAATAAATTTAAACGTTTTTATAACGTTGTGCCGACGTTGGACTAGTACTACAGCAAAGTAGAAGCTTCTGCGACGTCGAATAAACGTTGTCTTGTAACCTTTTTTGCTTAAGTGATCTTTAGGTGATTCGGACAACGTAGTTACAACGTTGAACAATATAGAGTTTTCCGACGTCAGTTTCAGGACCTATTCCAACGTTATGTAAACGTCGTCTGTTTTACTAATTCCAACGTTGTTTAGATTTCTTTATTCTTACGTTGGTAGGACGTCGAGTCCTTTTTGCAACTGTATTGAACCATAACCTTAAATCTTAAATTTTCACTTCATTGTTCTGTTCAGTGCTGTTTTTGTTTTTATAAAAAAAAACTTAATTAAAATGGGGCATAAGAAAGGTACATATAAAACTAAATTTAAATATACATCGACATATATTACCGATGTTTATCCACTCCCTCGTTTATTTAGATTATAGAGGGCGGCACAAGCTAGACTCTAGGATGACTAAATTAGGCAATCTTGCGACTAGTATACTACCTGTTAAGGCCGAACTGCGACTTTATTAGTCCAGTATGCGACTATTCGAACTACTCCATCTTAATCTCCCAAAACAACAAAGTGAAAGCCGCCATGTTGTTAAATAAGAAAATGTTTCGTTCCTAAAATAGCAATTCCTGCTTTTTGAATACATTAACTTGAAATATTTGACCCTAAATATCACGCGGAAACAATTTTTTCGACTGCGAATAAATTATTCTCATTTTACTAAAAAAAAAATTCAAGAAAATTTTTAAAACTTTTTTTAATTTTAAGGCCCATTAGTATTTTTCAAAGTAGAAACAATACATTTATCAATAAAGTTGTTTGCGTTTAACTTTTTTTCCTTTGGGTAATGAGTTACAGAGTCGGTTAAAGTGTTTCAATAATTATGATCTTCAAACATCCTCCACACTTAAATACTTTTGTTTTGTTTTCCTTCACTGCCATCTGACATATGTCTCTAACTAAATCATAAAAATAATATTTTTACTATAATTATCCCAATTTAGGATAAAACGCGACTTAGACGCCATATTAGTTTTGTATTTCTGTGAATTAGGATTTTAAACAACGTTGCAGTTTGTACTAAATTAGGCTTCTAGCCAACGTCGGTATCCAACGTCGTTTCGACCCAAAAATTATTCTCCAAACTAGTGCAGACTAGGGTTGGTACGAGGTTGTGCCGACGTTGCGCCCCGACGTTTGGTCGCGTGACACAACGTTGTCCCGATGTCCAAATGCTGCTTGGGACATTATAATGTTATTTTGATTTTTGCATCTATATCACAAAACAGGTTTGCTTCTATATCACAAACACCTATACAGGGTTGTTTACCACATACGACACGGAGTATTGTAACTAAACGATTAGATTTTTACAAATTGTAAGTTTTGGGTTCGTTGAAGGTCTATGAAAGCTACAATTTAAAAATATTTTTACAAGATACAGAGTTTCCCAAATAAATAAAAAAATATCAAAGTTGTATTTTTTTTAAAATGGAACACCCTATATATTATTACAATTTTAGTTTCTACTATTAAAATAAAGGTAAATTTGATTAAGGTTTATCACACTTAAACCTTACCGTTTTTCAAATATTTTCAATTTTGTGAAACTGCAGTAAAATTTTTAAGGCTTCCTTTCTCCAAGGGTATCAAAGTTTTTAATACTAAATAATTCCTGAAGTTTATTTATTGATCAGTTATTGTATTGCAATAATGAAAATAATACTACTTTATACAGAGTGTCTAAAATTTATTTTAAATAATTTCTTGCTTTAAACTGCAATAACTTGTTTAATTTAAATGAAACGCCCTGTATATTTTACGAATTTTTTACAAGAATCAGATGCACAATTTAATTGTCTATCAAATTGTATTATACCATTTTTTAGCTATCCCTTCAAGTTTTCGTAGAAAATGCATTTTCTTATAATTTAGATTTATCAATATACCCATGGAATATTGACATTTTAGATTGTTTTTAAAGCAACAAATAGACAAAATGTACAGGTGCTAAAAACGATAATATTACTAACCCATTTGAATACAAAAAGAAAACGATTTAAACCATTATAAGAGAATATATCATTAATTAAATATACCACCATTATTTCTGCCCAATTATTAATTAATTACATACTTAATTGGTTAGTTAATAAATCAAGAGTCAATTAATGTAGTTTGAATACTTGAATCATATTAATTAGTCCTCTCTAACAAATTTTTAAACAGTTTTTTTATTTTTTAAGGAAATAGACTAACTATGTCGACAATATTAGTATCTGTACTCTTTAAAAATTTGTTACATCTTTAAAAATAATCTAAAATGTCAATATTACATGGGTATATTGATAAATGAAGTCTAAATTATAAGAAAATGAATTTTCTACGAAAACTTGAAAAGGTAGGTAAAAACCGGTATAATACAATTTGATAGACAATTAAATTGTGCATCTGATTATCCTAAAATATATTGGGTGTTCTATTTAAATTAAACAAGTTATTTTCGTTTAAAGCTAGTAATTATTTAAAATAAATTTTTAGACACTCTGTATAAGGTAGTATAATTTTTTATTATTTCAACACAAAATCTGGTAAACAGAAATACTTCAGTACAATATTTGGTTTTAAAAACTTAAATACGCCTAGGTGAATGAAGCATTAAAATTATTACACTGTATTTTGACAAAAACCAAAATATTTCAAAAACGGTAAAGTTTAAGTGTGATAAGCCTTTATCAAATTTACCTTTATTTTAATCGTAGAAACTAAACATGTAATAATATACAGGGCGTTTCAGTTAAAAAAATACAACTTTGATGTTTTTTATTTATTTGGGACACTCTGTATCTTGTAAAAATATTTTTAAATTGTAGCTCTGATAGTCCTTCAATGAATCCAAAACTTACAATTTGCAAAAATCTAATCGTTTAGCTACAAACTCCGTGTCGTATGTGGTGAACAACCCTGTATAATATATAATAATAAATAACTATTGTTAACTTACAAAATAACAATAACAATAATAAATAATTGTTAAATTACAAATGATACAAATTTAATGTCGTGTATCTGTATTTTTTATTTCTTTTCAAATTCCATTGATTTCTTTTGAATTTGGAGTACTCTGTACAGGGTGTTTTCCTTTTTTAAGAAACTAAAGATGCTATACACGGATTTTTTCCAGACCTGCTAGTTCCGGATATACAGGGCGAATTTAAAAATGTTGCATTTGACAGCGGTCGGGCAAACGAAATCAACATAAATTTTATTTTTTATATATATTCTTATTAAATATTATATATATATTATAAGCATTTCTATAAAATAATAAAAGATCATTAGAAGTTCAATGATATAAATAAACTCAACGGCACAAAATTCCGCCACCCAAAAATTTTGACTAAGTTTGATGTTTCATATCTTTTGAATTTGTAATCCGATTTTTGTGATTATGGTTTTAGTGTGTAGATAAATTTGTTGCCATTATTTTTTATTATTTTAATGGCTTATATATTTCGGTTAGGTGGGTTTATACCGGGGTAAATCAACACTTTCTTGCAATAAATTCAAAACACCCTGTGGAAAAAATGGGACGAGCGAACGTTTTGAATAAAAAACACTTTCCTGTAATCTTAGATGTATTCCTAACATTTCATTTTTTGAATTATCCTATTATCTCTATTCTTTTACGAGCTACACATTTTTAAATAAAGTACTGCTATTTTTACAATCTTGAATTTGTTGAAAATGGAGCTCTCAATGCCCACCGTTATATTGAGGATGTCCTCCAAGAAGTTGTCGTTCTATTTGCTCTTTTCATTGGAAATTACTTTATACTGATGCGTGTTAATGCCAGGCCCCACGTTGCGCGGACTAACGAGTTAGGAGTACGAGTAGTTAACAAGTACCTACGTGGATGAAGTTGGACTACGAATATTGGAATGACCTCCTTGTAGTCCCGGCCTCAATCCAGTGGCACATTTTTGCGATGTAGTTAACAAGATAACGGAGATTCCGTTAATGCTAGCCTTAGCTCTTGGAAAGGGTTTTCTTGATCAAGAAAGAATAACTACCCTTATTCATTCGATAAAAGTGTATATAAAAGAGATAATGGGATAATTTAAAAAATGAAATGTTAGGAATACATCTAAGATTACAGGAAAGTGTTTTTTAATCAAAATGCCCGTCTCATTTTTTCCACAGGGTGTTTTGAATTTATTGCAAAAAACAATGTTTTGATTTAGCCCGATATAAACTCATTTAACTGAAGAATATAAGCGATTGAAGTAATAAAAAATAATGCCAATACATTTATCTTCACACTGATATCATAATCTCATAAAAATCGGATTACAAAATAAAAAGTTGAAACATCAAATTTAGTAAAATTTTTAGGGTGACGGAATTTTGTGCCGGGGAGTACGTATGTTACGGTTAAAGTCCGATGTCCGGTTAATGTCGACATTAACAGGTTAATGTTTGGCTAAGGTTATGTTTTTGGTTGTGTATGTGTGACCATATTTGTGACACCTTGTGTGTGCAGTAGTAGTATTTGTGACATACGTCTCAATTATGGTATACATACACGCGTATACCACAATTTTCTGATAGCAAATTCGATATCCTCGGGTCAAAATTAGTCTGGTCGGCTAGATCCGAAAAATGACGTGTGTAAGTTTCCACAAATCATAATATTTATTCGTATCACACACTTTCAGAATTGTGGTAACCTAAACTTCCCTGTATCGCAGCGTCATCTACATTTTTATACACACTCATATTTGTGGTAAATCCGGCGTTTAGATGCGTACATTCCCGAAACGTACCGATTCAGAATACACACCATATTTAA